GAGGAGAATGGAGGAAAAGGGATTGCATATGGCCTTCTCCCCAGGGGGTGATTTTTCATATTCTGTCTCTCTGTGTGGTGAGTACATTTGCACTCTATGGCAAAAACCTTAAAATACCACCAAAAAATATAAAGAGAAAAAGAGAGTGAAGTGGTCTTTTAAGTATTTTTGATCAGTACACCTGGGAAGGCTGAAATCAGAGCAAATTTCCATGCTGGTCCTTTAGGACACTGCCATATCCACCAATGGAGACAACCTAACACTTACAGATAATAAGACCCACAATGCCTGTCCTGGCAACAGCCAACTTCTGAATGTGGACTATACTCTCCAGTTTTTGTCAGAACTGAGAAAATGAGAGATGGTGGCTTGTTCATGCATGTCACTTTCTTGCTAAGCAGCAACTTCTTCCTTCATCTAGCACTGTCCCAGTTAGTATATGTGTCCAATCTCTATCAGTTAAGTTTTTAATTATTTGATTATAAATCTCTTTCCAACTCAGTGATTGCTTTCATAGAAGGACTGTCACCAAATGATTTCTTCCTCTCTTATTTTATATGACATTGCAGTAAGTAGAGCAAATATTTTTAAAAAACAATAGGTTCATGTTAGGAAAAATGGGTTAATCACATATCTGTACATCTTATAATCAAAACAAACAAACAAACAAAAAAAACCAAACAAACAAAAGCAAAACACTATTACTTTGGATCACCTTTTTAATATACTTTATTTGTAAACCTTAGAAGATAGAGGCAGTATCTAGGTTGGTTTGTTGGGCAGTGCAATGGTGTTAGTTTTTCACTGAAAAAAAAAAAAAGGGAAAACTAAGCAGTTCCCCTATTTCTCAATTTTGAAAATGAGGGTTTTCTGAATTCAGAGTTTCTGTCCTGTAATATTACCCATTGCATGAACAGGCATTACCGGGTCCTTTGGCATACTGTTCTTTAGGAACTGGGGTTTGAGAATGAGTTAAGAAAATGTGATGTTCTGGTCCCCATTATCACTGTAATAAGCTGTACTCTGTTTCTGATAGAAGCAGCCTGGTGAGTGGCTACTGCCGGGTGGACATGAGAAAACAGAGATGTCAGGCACATGCAACTGCTGTCACCTGGGGAAAGTGGTGGGTGGAACAGATTTTGGCAATAAGATCAGGAATTCAGTTTAAATATGGGAAGGAGTGTTTGAAATGTTTATGAAATATCCAAATAGAGATGTCAGAGAGAGACATTTGGATATAATACCGGTCTTGAGGTATCTAGTAATCAGCACATAAATAATATTTAAATAATTAGACAGCACAAATGATTGGATTCTATATTTGCAAATCTGTTCACTTCAGTTTCATTTTTGAAAGGTATAGAATTGTAACCTGGTGATATTATATTCTGTCTTCTGTGTGTGTGTGTGAGTGTGTTTGTGTGCGTGCGCATGCGCATGCGCATGGTGAGTGATCACCAATCTGATGTTTTCTCTTAGAAAGGTGCCTTTATTTTTCTGAAACTGCTTTTTCTTTTCTTTTTTTCTTTTTGGAGAGGTTTTTCTATAGGGTGCGTGCACTCGCCAGACAGACAGAGAGAGACAGAGAGACAGAAAGCGAGAAATCACCCCCCAGGAGGGGGATGGCCACACTGCACTCCCTTCTCCATTCTCCTCTCTGGATCTGGGGCATGCATGCACACGCACCTGGCATGACTTTTAAACCACCGGGTCTGGGACGTGAACCGCGGCTGACTACGTGGGAGTCCAGCGACATAGCCGTTACGCTAACTGCTGGTCCCCTGAAACTGCTTTTAAAATATGTTTTCTGTCTTAATGTATTAGATGGCTTACTATGCTATATGCACATGTAAATTACTTTATTTTCTTGTTCAAAGTATACAAATCTAAAATCTGTGTGTCATCATGAATAAATGTTATATAGTCTCAATCATAATTTCTTCAAATTTGATTACTGGTTCATTCTCAACTCTTTTTTAGAACTTCAATTACATATATGTTAGACTATCTCATTGTGTTCTAAAATTTGTTTGTTCCTGAATAGTAAATTCAGAAATTTGTTTTACAATTTCTATTCTTTTATAACTTGATGTAAATATTTTCCCATGATGTGCATCCTATTTAACTAACAATATATCCAGGTTTTTTTAAATTTAATTTAATTTATTCCATTAACTTATTAAGTAATGATACCACACCTTCCTAAGCCAATTCATTACTTTGGGTTAATAATAATAGTTCAATTACAAAAATAAAAATCTTATAGGGAGCACGTACTCACCAGAGAGACAGAGAAAGAGAGAACAAAAAAGTAAGAAAGCACCCTCAAAGGGGAGACCATGCCTTAGTACCTTCTCCTTTCTTCTGTTGGAATTTTGGGCTCACACAGCAAATGTATTTTTCAAGCTGGTAGGCCTGAGACTTGAATCACATAGCCAGCCTTGTGGTTGAAGACTATCACTGGTTTCACTCCAGTTTTTCTAATGTAATACATTTTTTTAGAGAGGTTTTTGTTGCAGGGTGTGTGCACTTGCCAGAAAGACAGAAAGAGACAGAGAGACAGAAAGTGAGAAATCACCCCCCAGGGGGGATGGCCACGCCACAATCCCTTCTCCTCCATTCTCTTCTTGTGACCCTGGGCATGCATGCACACGTGCCCAGCGTTAGTTTAAGCCACTGGGTCTGTAGACTCGAACCGTGGTCAACTACATGGGAGTTCAACAACATTGCATTACGCTAAATGCTTGTCCCTCTAGTGTAATATTAAATATAGTTATTTTGTTATCAATTTTAGTAACTTTATTTTGTATTTCTTTTATGGTTTCTAGTTTTCCACTAAAATTACTTTATTGACTGGAATATAAGAGCCACATTTTTTCCTACACATTCAATGGCTTTAAGTTGCTTTTTTTTTCTTTGGAGAGGTTTTTGCTATAGGGCACGTGTGCTCGCAGGACAGACAGAGAGAGACAGAGAGACAGAAAGTGAGAAATCACCCCCCAGGGGGGATGGTCACACGCCGCAATCCCTTCTCCTCCATTCTCCTCTCGGGATCTTGGGCACGCACGCACACGTGCCTGGCATGAGTTTTAAGCCACCAGGTCCGGGACGCGAACCCAGTCGACTACATGGGAGTCCAGCGACATAGCCATTACACTAACTGCTGGTCTCTAAGTTGCTTTTTTTTATCTACTTATTTTTCTATATGTTGCTTTACAGACTTATGCACCTAGTTAAGTTTGTTCCTGAATATTATATTTAGAAATTTGTTTTTAAAATATTTTGAGTACTATGGAAATATTTTCTCAGAGGATTATTTTCCTTTTTTTCCAAAAAGACAGAGGACACAATCATCTGGTATCAACCTACAGCAGTATCAAGAATTAGTTTCATATAAAGATGTACTGAAACCTCCGGCTTATTCTGAGTTATCTTTTTTTATAAGATTCAGACCTTTAGCGCCTCAGTCTATTACAGTGGTGCTCATTAAACCATCTTCTTTTGGTGAGACATGGATTCAAATCGTTCTTCTCCTCCCCTTGAGAGCCTTTCCAAAGCCCTATTCCGTCTCTTGAATTTAAACTACAACCTCTAGACATATATATATATATATATGTGTGTGTGTGTGTGTGTGTGTGTGTGTGTATCTTTAATGAGAAAGAGAGAAAGAGATAGAGATCCCTCATAGGGTCTTTGTGCCTCCCTCAACTGACCCCCTAGTCTTAGCTCACCCAGGTCACAGATATGCATATGTGTGCCTGGCATGTGCAGGGTGGCCCAGGGACGTGAACTCAGCACGTACCCTACATGGATCTGGTTACACCATCACTGTGCCACCACCTGGCCCCAGACTTACTCATCTTTATGGAAAAAAACAGCCTCTGTTGCCAGGCTCACTGCCCTGATTTTGTTCATTTCCAAGACCATTGTCTAGTAATTAAAAAAAAAAAATCTTTTTAGCTTTCCAGTGTCTTTACTGAAGAAAAATATTGTTGCCGATGGTTCCACATTAGTCCTCTAAGCAAAGGTTTCTTTCACATTAGTCACTCGTACTGTCTCTATGAGTCTTCAATCAAGTCTTTTGTTCTATAATTACTTAACTGGAAAATTAACGTAAGTTATTTGAAATAGTGACACATGTTCATGCATTATCCTAAACACTGACATCCATATTGAGTATTAAGACTCTAGTTCTCTCAAATGGAAAAGGAAAATATATATATATAGATATATACACACATATATCTATATATATATACACCTGTACTTACAATCCTTGAATTTCTTTCTTAGTTTGATTTGAAGTTCAATCTATTTATAATCTGTTTATTTCTCAGTTCTTTGTAGCCATCATTTTACCTCATGCTCCCTGAAACTGCAGAATACATAAAAACTATGAAAATTATCAGAAAGTCATGTATTGGCTCAGGGAGGGATAGTATCATTTATTACTTAAGTTAATGGAATACTTTTTTTAAAGAAGGTATTTAAAAATGTTAACTACTGATACTGAAACAAATCTTAAGAGAGTTTAGATATGTAGCTAGAAGGAAATATAATGATATTTTTCTTTAAGCCATAATTATTATTACTGTTATTATTTTCTTGGCAATAGCAGCATAGAATATTTTTTTACCTGTATAGGTATATATATAAAATAAATTACACTCTTGATTTTTTTGTTTGTTTTTGTTTTTTGCACTTCCAGAGTCATTTTTATTGGCCACTTACAGCTACACCTTTAGCTGTTTCCACCAGAAATTCTGCTTTTGCTTGTGCTGCTCCTTCAGGTGCCTCCCAGCTCTGCAGAGCCGGTTCACAGGAACACAGGCTAGAAGACAAAGGAGAAGCCTTCAAGAGGCCAGCAGGTGCACCAGATCCATTTGGACCATGCAGTGGCAGTTCGTGAGGAGTTGAGTCAACCCAGTGGCATCTGGCCGCCTTATCCTGAGCCACCCCCATCTTCAGGGAAGAAACAAGGCCAGAACTCAGCCTTGCTGGAGGGTCTGAAACCAACCTCAGGGTGCAGCCAGCCAAGTTACACCACCAGGGGCCAGCTTCAGTGTTTCTTTCCCTCCTTGTACGACCACCAAGACCAGGTTGAGATACAATGAAAAAGGGAGCCAGAGGATACAGTCTTGATTATTTAATTTTGCTATAGGTTGCATGTGCTCCTGCAGAGAAAGATTGAGAGAGAAAAAGGGAAAGTGAGAAATCACCTCCCAGGAGATGGCCACACCACAGTTCCTTCTTTTCCATTTTGTCCTTGGGATTTAGGGTATGTACACGCACACAGGCCTGCAGTGTTCCTCAATTCATGACGTCCAGTGGAATCTGGCCACCTCCATGCCACCTGTTGGCCCAATTTCAATATTTTTTTAAGAGAGTTTTTTGCTATAGGGCATATGTGCTTGGCAGAGACAGAGAGAGAAAGAGAGAGAAAGAAAGAGAGCAAGAAATCACCCACTGGGGGGATGCCTCACCACAATCCCTTTTCCTCCACCCTCCTCTCAGGATTTTGGGCACACACGCAAGTGCCTGGCATGAGAGTCAAGCCCTCTCAGTCCAGGACTCGAACTGCATGCAGCCATGTGGGAGTCCAGTACCACAACCTCTATGTCACCTGCTGGCCCTCAATTTGAAAAAATTTTGAGTCACTGTTTTTTGTTTGCACAAGTATCCTAATCTTGAGGTTACACTTAACCACTAAATTCAAATTTTGAGTCACTGTTTTTTGTTTGCACAAATATCCTAAACTTGAGGTTACCCTTAACCACTAAATTACAGAAGCCACACGTTCGCAACTATGACATTTGTGATCAAAGAAAACTGCATCACTAATTACAGAAGCATTCTTCTGGTATGTGACATGCGAGAGGGTCATATTCCCTATCTTCTTTGCCCTTTAAATAAAGGTACATTCTGCAATCACAATTTAAAGACTGAGTATGAATATGTGATTCTACATTCAGCATTTCTCTCTCTATAGTTCTAATTTCTATGTTCTCCCATTTGTAGTCCTTTGGCTAGTAAAACTATATAACTTCTCTTTTTGCCTGAGGCAAAGTGCTCGTATTTGATTTATCTTCTGTACTTGTCTTTCTTTTAACAATATGAACTTCTTCTCAGACAATTCAATGCTGTGTGTGACCCCACAGGGAAATAGTTTTCTTTTTAAGGAATGTGTACAAAGTACTTAATCAGTCATGTCATTCCATGATTTACTGTATATTATATTTTCAGTGACTACAGTTAACTTTCCCGGTCTCTAGATGCCAACATTTTAATAAAAACAAGACATTTTCAACAAAATGTCAGAAACAAAGTGATCAAAGTGCTGTGGGAGCAGTTTGGCAACAGTTTGAGCTTTGAATTTCCTATTCACTTTCCAAAACATTCACTTAAAAAGCATTTATTGAAGCTGAACTGCCTTTATCAGCCTGATCAGAGCTCCATAAAGAGCATGCATGATTCAACTGCCTTCCCAAGCTTTAAAAAATATAACTTTGATATATGCCTCACAAGTGCAGCACAATAGTTTTCATGCTCACGTTTGTTAAGATTTAGTGCAGCCATTAAAGAACAGAAGGGCTCTTTGGTGGCAATCCTCAGACATACCAAATATCCCAAAGCAAAACCTTCTACAAATCAGAGATTAAGGTACTGACAAAAATTTCCACTTGATTGCAGTTTTCCCCTTTAAACCTTATATCAGGAGTGACTATCTTTTCGATCAAATCTCTCAGGGAGGTGAATAGATAGGTTTTTTCCCTCTTGGAGGAAAATATCAACTGAGAGATAAAAAGTGACATTTTATGTGCCTTGTCCAAGAGTCAGTCGATTTATTTAAAAAACGGTGTGTGAGCCTGACCTATACATGAAGTTTGTGGCATGTCTCTTGTCAAGTATTGATCACTTAAGTCTCTACTGTTTGCCTACTGCAATGTGGCTAATAATCTCTTTTTATTTAGTTTGTGGCTTTGAATTCTTATCATGGCTTTGCTGATTTCTCTGGGACCTATTAGATCTTGCTTTTGCTGTGCAAATGGCTATGGAAATTAAGCTTGCTGGAGCGCTTTTCCTGGGCAAACACTCTTTGTTTTCCATCAGTTCATGTGTCAAGTGGTTTGCATGCAGATAAGGTACATTTGGAAGCAGCGGGTGCCATCAATCTTCATGACTTTGCTATATACACCATTTCACCTCTCCCTGGTTCAATGGGATATTGCAAAGGATGGCTGCGCAATCATGCCATTCCCTTTGACTGACATCAGGTATTTCTGTCTAACTCACCTACGCACTTTGAGGTCAGTGCTGGACACTTAGAAAATTGGGAACTAGGTGATGTGATCAAATGTCTTCCACATTTTGACACATTTGCCATCTCTGTTAGCTTTCAAAATTGCATTCTTGAACTTTAACTGCAAATCAAAAAAGCGAAACTAAATTTTGTTTGCTTGTATGTATCCTCTACTCATACTACAGCCCAAAAGTTTCAAAGGGTTAATACAATCCTTGCCTTATTTGCTGCATACCTTCATTGAGCCATTTGTCACGGAACTGAGAAAAGATAGTTACAGGAAGTGAACCATATTTTTATAGGCTATTATGCTTAACTTCTTTGATTTTCATATGATCTATTACATTTTCATGCAATGAAATCTTATTAAAAACAATAGCTGATATAAAGTAAGGACATTATGATATGTCATGACACTGAAAATCTCATTGTGCAGAGTATTCTTTGTGTTTGTGTGTTCGCATGTCTCTTTGTATCTGTATCAAGTCAGACACAGAAATAGAGATATATAGAAAGAGATGAGCTATTCTACACCATATTGAGGTTAGTGAATTGCTCAATAATGTATACAGTTATACATTACAACTTAGTTCATCTATCGTTTCTGGTTCACAACTCAAAGAACTAAGTCAAGAATAAAATTAAATTATGTTGTGTATATATACATTTTCATCTGTAATATTATGGCAGTGATATCGATAACAAAATGTCCCTTGGGTTAGCTCTGTGGCCTAGTGATTGAGGCAGCTTGACCTGGTGTCTTGAGGAACATACCAGGCACGTGTGTGAACATGTGTGTCAAAATCCCAAAAGGGCAAAAAGATGGAAGAGAAAGGATTGTGGTATTATTAGGTCCCATTGGTGAAAGGGGGTTCTAGCAAAAAAAAAAAAAAAAAAAATTCTTAAATGAACTTCTGTAGGGGCCATTAGGTTCTGTGGTGGTGAAGGTGCTAGATTCCCACATGGCTGACCACAGTTGGGTCCTGGACCTGGCAGCTTAAATATCACACCAGGAGCATATACATGTTTGCCCAAAATCCAGAGAAGAGAATGGAGTAGATGGGATTAGGGCATGGTCATCCCCCCAGGGGGTGATTTCTCACTTGTCCTCTCGTTGTTGTGAGTATGTTCCCTATAGCAAAAACCTAATAATAAATGAAGGAACTCCTATAGATAGGAATGTGTGAAAGTATATTTACTATTTAGTTTAATTACCCTTTGCATTTGCTAGCCAAGTTTCAGTATAAATATGAGGACCACATTAATATACATCAATGAAGATGTTGAGGGAAGAAGATAAATTTAATGGCTTCACATATATTTCTTCCAATTGATACCAGTGCAGAGTCAAGCTTTTCTCACATGAATACACAATCATTGAGAACTTCATATGTTTTATAGCTTTGGTATATTAGTAAATATATATCAAAGTTTCTATTAAGAGACTCTCTATCTGTTGAAGATATTTTGATCAACTGGACTGGGGACAAATATTCACATATTGAAATGTTCACTTTGTAAACTAAATAATGTGATTGAATATATAAAAAAAATTAAAAATAAAACCTCTCAAATATTCTTCATTTTGAATTGGTGGACCAAATTAGAATAATAAAAAAGTCTGTGTGTGTGTTTGTGTGTGTGTGTGTGTGTGTGTGCATGTGAGTATGTGTTTTTAAACTCTCTCATGAGTCTATAATTCTTTTTATTATTTTTTTAATCTTTCTTTTTTATTATTATTATTTTTTGGAGAGGTTTTTTTGCTATAGGGTGCATGCTCTCGCCAGACAGACAGAGAGATACAGAGAGACAGAAAGTGAGAAATCACCCCCAAGAGGGGATGGTCACGCTGTAATCCCTTCTCCTCCATTCTCCTCTCGGGATCTTGGGCACACACACACGCGCCCGGCGTGAGTTTAAGCCACCGGGTTCGGGACTCGAACCGCAGTCGACTACAAGGAAGTCCAGCGACATAGCCATGATGCTAACCGCTGGTCCCATGAGTCTATAATTCTTGATGCATACTTACTGAAAATGGAACTGACAAATATAGAATATTTAAAACAATATACCTTAAATGATATATGTAATTTATCCATTATTAATAATTTCATTAAAATTGGTAATTCTTTGGTATTAAAAATGTAAACAATCTTAGAAGTTACAGAATGATTTATTTTCAAATTATGTTATAGTTTCACACTACGTTTTTGAATATTTAAAAGTTTCTTTTCTTAAGTTTATTTTAATTTGTTTCATTCAAGAGAGATTGAGAGAGACCCTCAACATAGCCTTCATCCCACAGTATACCCCCTCCTGCCAGTTAACCAGGATGACAGGCACATGTAGGCATATCCTGCATGTTCAGAGAGGTCTCTGGAAGAGAACACAGAACCTTCCTATGTGGGTCCAGAATTACAGAGCATTGAGTTATTGTGCTACACCCCAGGCCGACCTCGAATAGCTAGAATCTTAATTAGAAGATTCAAATTAATAAAACGTATAAACTTAATTGCTTGAAAACCCATTTACCCTCTTCTTCTTACCTTATTAGTAAATAATGAAAGCTAAATCTGCCTTTTTTAAAATGCCTTTTTTGAGAATTGCTTTTCTTCTCCACCTCATATTCTGTGTCCAGATACATAGCAGGGAGCAGTTATATCTTGACGCAACCTCTGGCAGTAGCTGGTCAATCCAGAAACTGGCAGTGTGCATATGCTGAATATCAGTGTTACTCTCTGGAACTTTATGGAGGTGAACAATCAAATAAACTCTTTTTTGTGAGAATAAACATTTTACTCCATTTAGAGTACTTAGAGAATTTTGAAGTAA